TTTTTTCATTATATATATAAAAGTGTACCAGAAATTAATTGATTAAAAAATCTGTAACTTTTTTGTTTATTGATGGATTTCAAAAATTCAAAAAGTTCCATGCTCTGTGAAGATAAAGCTACAAAATACACCTGTTTGCAAACACTTTCTGGCAAAAAAAGGATTTTCGTGGTCATTGCTAATGTAAAATAGACACTGAGACTAGGTGCCCAGTTACCGAGTACGTAGACACTGAGGCTAGGTGCCCAGTTACCGTGTACGTAGACACTGGGGCTAGGTGCCCGGTTACCGTGTACGTAGACACTCCGAATTTGTCTTTAAGTCAAAAAGTGAACCCTACTACATTTTAGCCAAGATATATTTTTCTGCCATTTTTGTATTTAAAAAATTATTTTGGCCGGATTTAACTTTGGTGGACCCACCGTGTTTACGCGTGTATTAATGCGCACTAGCCTAATGGTAGGGGGTTTGAGGGGGGCTGGCCTCCGTGATGTGTATTAATGAGCACAATAGCCTAATAGTAGGGGGTTTCAAGGGGGCTGGCCTCCCTGATAGAGGTGGGGTTTGAGGGGGGCTTGCCCCCCTGGCAAAAATAATAATAAAAAAACCCACACAATCTTCACGCTTAAAATGGCAAAGTATTAATTGGAATGAGAAGGCAATTTCCAAAGAGCGCCGTAAGGGTTAGAGTTACTCTATATATCTTGTTTTTTTATCATACACACATGACGGGTACTACTTAAGAATGTGGGTCCCATCTGTTTAGACATGACATACCATCATCCACACAAGCGGATAGCTAGAGAACAACTAGGCTAAACGCCATTGGCCCATATTTATAGTAGTAACAGCCATAGGTTTGACCCCGATAGGGGGATGCCCGCCACGTCATCTGATTGTGATTCTAATAGTGATGATTTTTGCGTAGCGCGTGGTTTGCTCTCTGGCAGTTTCCAAGACCAAGCTCCTTCCCCTTAAGACCATCTTCGGGTGGGATTTTTCCCCATTTTTACCCCGTTTCAACATACATTTTTTCCCCTTCGTTTATTAAACCTACATGATGTATATCCATTTTCATCAAAGTTTTGAGCGTCCGCTTCAATCAATTATGTTTCGAAGTCATTTAAAAATGGGTTTAAAATATTTTGCAATTTTGGGTCATTAAAAAAAATATTTTCTTCATTTTTTTCAAATATTTATCTTTCCGACTTTAAATTACATCTAGTTCTTTATTTTTCTTCTGAATAGCTTCATTATTTTACATGTTGTCCATCCATGGGTGACCTTACTGAAATAGAGCCCTTTTTGAAGATAATAAAAGAATAAAATTACAATCAGTGTTTTTGTTGGGAATTTTGAGATTTTTTTTCTATTTATCCACACATTTCCAGAGTCCATAATTATTTTCATAATCGTAATATTACAAATCTGGCGTTAGTTGTTCATTACATCTATAGGTGTTGTAGTTTGTTCTTGCTAAAAATGAAAGCCAACTAACAAAAACTAAAAGAGAAGATAGCTTTTGAAATTTGATGAAATTATCCAATACAGTGGATGTTTGCTTGGTTATCATGGTTACCTTGAGCTTATAATAATAAATAATTACTTGAATTTATTCTTTGATGTCTGTCTAATATATATATATATATCGTGGTTGCTATGTATATAGTCAAGGAATATTATATGGATTTTATAAATTTCACCAGCAAAAATGGCCTGAAGTATTATAAATAGAATCTAGTTCTACTCCATTTGCAGCTCAGTGTCCTATTGAGTCCAATCTCTTGTAAGTGCTTAATTTCTTTTACTTACAAAACTTAAATTTTAATAACTTTTTTCTCTGCAGAATCAAAATGGCATTGCTGGAAGTGGAAGTAGCAGAGACAACTGTACAGAAGCGCCGTCTCCCTCGTCCTCTGACGGCAAGCAAAAAGCCAGCAGCGGCAAAGCCGTGACGATCAGCCGAGCCATGCGGGCGTACATGGAGAGAGCTAAAGCCCACGGTGAGGGATCACGTCAATTACTTTGTTGTGAGGTTAATGTTGCTCTGGAAACTTGACATAGAAGAATAGTTTTTCTTTGTTTCGATGTGAAGCTGAACTGTGATTGGAAATTTTATTTATTTGGTAGATGACATGATGAAAGCCGAGGTCGCGGACTATGAGATTGGGAAACGTCACCTGGCCAACATCATGGGGGAAGACCCAGACAGCTTCACACAGGACGACGTCAACGTAAGACACACACGCTTCGGACACACTCTTTGGACTCTCGACACGCACTCTTTGGACACACTCTCTTTGGACACACACTCTTTGGACACACACTCTTTGGACACTCTCTTTGGACACACTCTCTTTGGACACACACTCTTTGGACACACTCTTTGGACTAAGACACACACTCTTTGGACACACACTCTTTGGACACACACTCTTTGGACACTCTCTTTGGACACACTCTCTTTGGACACACACTCTTTGGACACACTCTTTTGACTAAGACACACACTCTTTGGACACACACTCTTTGGACACACACGCTTTGGACACACACTCTTTGGACACACACTCTTTGGACACTCTCTTTGGACACACTCTCTTTGGACACACACTCTTTGGACACACTCTTTGGACTAAGACACACACTCTTTGGACACACACTCTTTGGACTAAGACACACACACTTTGGACACACACTCTTTGGACACACACTCTTTGGACTAAGACACACACACTTTGGACACACACTCTTTGGACACACACTTTGGACTAAGACACACACACTTTGGACACACACTCTTTGGACACA